GGGGGGGGGGGGGGGGGGGAGGCAAAGCGACTCCTCAGCCTGATTATCCAGTAACAACCGGAACGAGGGGGGCCAGCCCAGCCGGCCGCAACAACGCCGACCCACCTGTCTGCCGGGCTGATGCAGGCGATCATGAGGGTGTGTGAGTTTCCCCCAAGGCTTCCCTGAAGCAGCCTCGTCAGCTTGGAGTCTCGGTAGGGAACGTGACCGCCGCTGCCGCCACCGCTACCACACCCCTCCGCCAGCGCTGAAATTACGTTTCCTAGAGCCAGCAGCCCCTTGTTGATGTTGATGCCTTCCCGCAGGCGCTTGCCCTACGAAAAAAAAAAAACAGCGGCACCACGAAAAATAAGCATCGGTTCTAGCACAAAAATACCGGGAGGAAAGGTCTATATGGTGTTTTTTGCCCCCAGCCGACAGGAAGCCCCTATGGACAATGCGTTGTCAGCAGCAAAGGGGCGCTCTACTCGCGGCACTGTTGCATCGACGATTGAGGAAGAGGAGGAGGCGAGCTGGAAATCAATTCCACAACTTTGCGTGTCGCGCCTGTCAGGGTTCCTACCGCACAAGGAAAATTACGCTCAAAATACACCGGGGAGAGGGGGCGAGGGGGGCACGGTGGTTTTGGATAGCCAAGCGACGTCAGAAGACCCACGTAGACGTCCAAAATTTTCGGCCATGCCTTGACAGTCGGGTGGCTCCGCCTATCATCGACCCGCTTCTACCCCTTCACCATTCGCTGTCCAGCCTGGTTTTTGGAAATCCGAAGTGCTCCGTTCCGCAAACTTTAGGCATGACATCGAGTACGCCCATCCTATCGCCGACCACGCCTCCCTCGCTGACATCGTGAAACCCTACACATCACGGACCTCTTCCCCTCCCCCGCCTCCAATGACAATGCGTAACCCCCTTGGTGATGTGATAGCCTAGTCCGGTCAAAACCCGGCGTGCTCCGACTTTGTAGGAATGCGAGATCAACGGTCTAACGACTACGGCATGCACGGCTACCAGTACCCCTTCCTCCCCCCCGCCCCCCCGTCCGGTGGTAAGCACCTCCGCCCCGGTCTTCTTGGCGCGCTCCGACCCCGCCAGGTCTACCAGGTGGAACAACGACGAGGTGACAGTCTCGTCCGACGTCTCAGTCGCCGGGCGGACCATCTGGAAGCTCAGGGTGCAGATGGCGTGGGAGCGGCTGCTGTGGGCGTTCATGTTGGTGCTTGCGGTCGTCCGGCAGAGGGCCCCGCGCTCGAGCAGGCTCTGGAGGTTCTCGGCGCCGTTGATCTGTAGGGTAGATAGAAATGCCGGGTAGGACGGGGCGGGAAGGAGCGTGTGGTTGAAACTGCTCTCTCTCTCTCTCTCTCTCTCTGTCTGTGTGCTCGTGATTTGTTTCAAAACCCCTGGTGCCTGGCTGGCAAGAGCAGTAGCAAAAGCTGAAAAAACATGAACCCGTTCGCGGAAGCAGGGCAAGAAGCCAAAGCGCACTGCCCAACAAACAGACCAAAAAAACACCAGCGAAGTGCCTGCAGGCAAGGTGAGCAGACAGACAACGTGCCGCCGCATCATCAGGGGAAGGACTACCGTACCTGCTGCTGCCGTTGCCGCTGCTGTGGCGTACTTACCTCGTGCTTGCCGAGACCAGGCAAAGGTGTAACAATCACGTTTGACATACACACGACCTCCCGCTGCATCATCACGGGGAGGAGGGCTAAACTGCTGCTGCCGTTTGCTGCTCCTGGGACGTGCTCACCTCGTGCTTGCTGAGGCCCGACACCGTCACCTCTCCTTGCACGTTTTCCCGGAGCGGCAGCCCCACGGGGACGCCCCCTTCGGTACTGCCGTCGCCACCGCCAATGAGGTCTTTGATCTCCTCGTTGATGACCTGCGCTCCCGGCGGACGCGTAGCCGCGGAATAACGCAGAACGGCATGCAGCGTGTGTGGCACGCTTCGGCATGCAACTCATGTATAATCGGAGGTTACGACAAGGAGTTGTGGCTGGGAAACGACTCACAACTGCTGTTTTCTGATGTACGAAGACGGCATGAAGTGTATTGTAGTACTTAGAGTATCGAGAAAAGCGGTGGACTGACGGACCAACCTCCAGGAAAGAGGCGTGGACGGAGGCCTTCACCCCCTCCGCCCGAAGCTCTTCGATTCGCTTGAAGAGGTCGGTAACCGCGCGGGGGATAATGCCCGCATCTTCCGGAGACCCGTTAACCTAGACACAGGTATCATTATCCAAAGCACAGCGGTAACGAGCAAGAATCCGGTCAGAAAATTCCTTGGGTAGTTTAAGGTTTGTTGTGAGGGCGTGTTGGATACCCCAACACTGGTGAACCCAGCGCAACACAGACAAGGTGTCCCTCTGGCCGGTTGGAACAGCAACACCACTACCGCCGCCGACAACAACACAGCGGTGAACCGTGCAGCTTACCGTGTAAGCGTTGCCAACGGTATGGGTCTTTCCGGAGCCCGTCTGGCCGTAGGCGAGGATCGTGGCGTTGAAGCCTTCGAGGCACCGCCTCACCAGAGGAAGGGCGGTGTTCTGGTATACCTGACGATCGATGGCGACGTCGGCATACGCGGTGGCAAACGGTGTTGTCCTTCACGGGTTTCTTTTCGCGGAGGAATAGCAGCAAGGGCGATAATGGTTGCGGCTGTGGTGTGATGGAGGGCACAAAATCGTTGGGAAGAAAAATGTTGGAACGGGATAATGGCGGGGATAGCGAGGGAAAGCGGGAAGGAGTGGCCATATGGTGCGAAGGGCAATCCGTTGTTTACGGTATGAGAGATGGTCATAGCTGCACCACGATGGACGCGGTGTTCAGTGGTCGAGCAAGGGTGAAATGCNGGGGGCGGGGGGGGGGTCGGTACCGCGGAACTAACCGGGTCTGGTTTCCGGTGCATTTCTTTCACTCGAGTGGGATTGGTTTAGAACGTTTGATGCAGGATGAAAACACGAGACAAGAGATAGAGAGAGATCGAACAACAAGCCTACGCTTGGCGCTCGTCAGCAGCGACAGCGCCATAAGAAAGCAGACTTCATACTTTTGTTTTCATGCACACGAGCAACCAAGCAAACCGTACAGTGGGTGAGATATGGATTCGCAAGGAGAGAGAGAGATAGAGAGAGTGCCCAACGAGCAACCAGCCGAACACTCCAAGGTAGTGGTAATACTGTAAAACACACACACACTTTCCGCATTTGGAGGATTTTTTCTGAATCATTTTTTTTTGTTCTAAGAAGGTGTACCCCTCTTTTGGCTAGCTGACCCGCTGAGACCACGGAAGGCGTCTACATTAGTTGGGCCAGTACGATGTTAGAAGGTGCTGAGCTGAGACCGGAACGGTTGTACAAACAACAACAACAACTACTACTACTACTACTACTACTACTACTACTACTACTATTACTACTACTACTACTACTACTACTACTTACTACTACTATTACTACTACACACGCGCACCTGTTCCTGGGTAGAGTCCGCCCCAAACACGTTGTCGAACTTGCGGCGACGACTGTCTCCGTTAATGATTACCTGTGTGGCGGTTGGCAGGTTTCGTGTTTTCATGAAACGAAACGTCAACCAGTGATGAATGCTAGGTTATGGGCAGGCAGCGGAAGGCACAGGTAGAAGTTCGAACTTTTTATTCAGGCGAAAGGTAACGCTCCAAATCGTTCTTCTCCTGCCGATCCGCATCCTCGGATGAGGTCGTGTGGTTTTCCTTCTTTTTTTTTTTCTTCTCTGTTCGTTCGGATGTTGGCTGTGCCCATAGATTTGGCCGGCACTATGCATCCCGGCAACCGGCACTAAACAGGGAACTCTACCACAGTCTACCTTCATGCCAATATTATCTCAAGGGACTGACTATTTCTCTTTTCCAATATCGTGCCCTTTGTGTAATAGGCACTGGCAGAATGCGTAACAGGTGCCTCTGATCATCAACGTTGTCGGATTCAGAACGAATGTGTCCAGCCTATTTAGTCGTTGGGACGAGGGCGCCTGTAGGCTCCTAATATTCTGGAGCCTTTGAACAATGATTTTGACTTGTTGTAGATCTGTCTTTTCCGACTGGGCTTCACGAACCGTGCTTGCATGCAACAAATATACAAAGCACGTGAAGCGTACAAATAGCGGCAGGATCATCGACGTTGGTTCAAGAACGGCGTCAGTGATTGATATGTACAGCAGATATGTGTGCGTGGAGTTCGTGATCTTTGCACACGCGGGAATGTACACAAGGCGCACGCGGGAAGGTACACAGGGCGACACAGTAGAGACACGACCTAAACGGGTAGTCTAGACTACTTCCAAGTACCATGCTGAAGTACAGGTAGTTAATAATGCACTTTTAGGTGTTGCATAGCAATCGGTACGATACAGCAGTATTGTCAGTACCAGCAGATAAGCAGCTTACAGCAGTAGTCTACACAAGAAAGACAAGTTGTCAGTATCGATCTGTAACACGTGACACGGGAGGACACCACGCGAACAACACCGCACACCAAAAGCACAAAAAAGACAGCCACAGGAGAGAACGTCCCACAGGTGCATATCCGTGTACCCTTCTCTCTCCTTCCTCGCCACTCTCGCCCTCACCTGATTGTTGTCGTTGTCACCGAACATGCACTCGACGCATCCCTGCGCAGTCTCCATCCCCACCAGGGGTCGCACCCTTACGGCCACCTTGACAGATGTGACGGATCCTTGGGGTGACGGCGCCACCGCCGCCCCAGGTTCATCCTCGGCGGGAGGTCCGACATCTCCGCTTGCTGCGGAGCTGGCCATCTCTCCTCTCGCTCCCTGCTTTGCTTGCGGTGGCTGCGTGTGTTTTTAGGAAATGGACCAACCGCCACAAAAGTTGGAAAGGAGTTCCAGAGACCTGGGTAGCCTCCCCAAACGGGGCATCCACACATACGTAAGGCATGGATCACAGCAGGGAGCACCCACAGGAGTCCCAAGTACGCAAGTCCCTAACATTGCGTCAAGGTAGCAAGCTGCATTCGCTGCGCCCGAGCAGAAGTGTGGCAAGCGGAGAGGAAACAAGTTTGATCCAAACCGAACCGTTTCTTGTTTTTTACCGATTTATTGATTTTAATAATACGCAACACCTTCGAATAAAAGGTACATTTAGCAGCATGCCGTTGCTCCCGAAACGCCGCGAAAATACAGCCGGTTGCCCTGATCAAGCTCCTTGAAATCGCGTGACACAAGATGGAATATTCAAGTTAACTCATGCTCCGAGCACCGCACCCCCTTGGACCGGTCTTTCAAAGCTCGATTACTCCACAGCTGTAAAGAGTGGTGGCGCCGCCCAAAGGATTGGGTTATGAAACCGTCGCATCCATACAGGGCTTTCCGAAAACGCAATCATCCTCTTCTGTCGTGTAGAAATTGAGCGTTGAAAGTTAGTCTAGGGGGTGTGGTATCTTAAGTCACCTAGAAAGGTAGGTGCCCGGACAAAAGGCCCGGCCAAACCCCCCTCTGGGCACTGTGGGGTCTTGAAGAGAGGAACAATGCGTCTCCAAGTTTAGGCTCAGACTTTCCAGCTTCCTCGCAGGACAGCAGGCAAGGACAAACAGTCCGTTCATGCTGCCTGGACATAAATCGAACAGCCTACACAAGCACACGCACAGTCGAGCCTGACACTAAGGAAGTAGGGAACCTCCAAGCCTAACCCCCATCAGGCACGTACGAATAGACTTAGAAATAGCGGTTGTGCGCAAGCCAGCAATTAAAAAACCTGGTGTTACTCAGCTTTTCGATACTCCATACAATGTACCGCATGACAAAATTAACAGCACAAGCTCTCTCCCGACAGTGAAAGTCACCGTTTGGTCCGGTGAGGGGATGTATGCAACACAAGTCGTACCTCCAAACATCGCGTAGCAACGAGACTACAAACGGCCAGGCCTGACAATACCCGATGTGAGGCAACCGAGTCACACCCAAAAAACGCGAAGGGCGTTTCTTACACTTTCGATGACCACAAGCCCCACGAATGTTGCCCAGTCTTCTTGCTCAACCTATCGCGGAGATATTGAACGCCAACCAAGTACACGAAGTACAACAGATGAGCACCGAAAAAAACAACACTCGGCGAGCTTCCACATGTAATTGCTAACGGCACGAAACACTAGATAGACGGAAAACCTACTGCTTTGATGTCTGCGGAGGGAGAGCTCGTCGTGACGCAGCCACAACAACAACAACAACAACAGTAACAGCAACAGCAACAACAACAACAATGGCAACAGCAACAACTATAGCAAAAGCAACAACAGCAACCACAAGATACGACGACGACAGCAACGGCATACACATCAAATACTGCAGGCTTGTCGAACGGAGGTGAAAAAACAAAATATAACGGTTTCCTGCGACTCTCGCGACCTAGCGTACCAGGCTCCTCCCCTCTCTCATGCATTCCACAGCTACCGAGCCCTAATAATGGGCGAGTTATGCAAGTACTCGACATAAAACAGCGACGATGATAATTCCGTCGAGAACACTTGCTGGCAAGAGTTTTCGCCACTGTTGTACCCTTTTCCGCTTCACCTAAGAACGTCTGCCGGGAATCAACCGCCCAACCACCAAAATTGGCAGACAGAGGCGTTCGGAACGTATTCCTGATGCCGCCGAGAGCGCTCACTCTACACTTGAACCACTGGAACGTAAAAATAAGCACAAAAACGTACACCGCACACACCGGTACAAATAACAGCATATTTGAAACCGGTAACAGATACATAACGGTACGGACCATAGAGAAAAAGCCAGTCCAAGCACAGTAGTGGAAGCAAAGCGGAGCGCACCAAAGAGCACAAATCAATATGAAATCGGTCAGTCTCGCCCGAATCAAGGGTCTGAAGCGGGTGTGCTGCTGGTAGCGTCGAAATTGTGACAGCCGTGCTCATTCACCCCGAAGTGCCGAAACGCGACAAACCAACCCAACCGATCCCCGTGGTGCATCCGAAACGGAAATTACACGCACTCCTCCCCCACACCGGGCTGGGGGAAACGCGAAAACTTCGAGAACGGACGGGAGGGGCAGGGATAAGACCCCTCGAAGTAAGCAGTGCCCCCCCCCCCCCCCCCCCCCCCCCCCCCCCCCCCCCCCCCCCCCCCCCCCCCCCCCNCCCCCCCCCCCCCCCAATCGCACGTCTTCTTTACCGCCGGTGCCCCCCTGCTATCGGTCGGTGGCGCCGCTCGAAGCCTGTTCTTGAGACGTTGTTGCTACCGCCGTCTTTTCGCCAGAGGCCTTCGTCTGGGCGTATGAAGGGGTCTGGTCGACAGCTCTTCGTCCCACCTGGACAACAAGGTCACCACCAAGAAGACAAATCACGAAAGCCGAGAGATCGTATTGAAGGTCTGAAAAAAAAATGTTCGAGGGGACGCTGCATAGGTTCTTCGTTTTTATTCCGTGGAAAATACTGCGCACGATTCTGCATAAAAAGGGGCGCGTTCACGCATGTCTGCGTGCGTGTGCGTGTTTGTGTGTGTGTGTGTGTGTGTTTCCAGCTCCGCCTATGTATCGTTGTGAGTACCTCGGCTTGTCGTTCTGGTTCTGCACTCGTGACTAAACTGTGCTCCCGGCAGGTCTCTCGCTCGCTCTCTTATCTGCGTGGCCAATCCTAAACATATTTAGTGCTGTGCGGCTCCTTCGACTTCGTATTTTTCCGGCGCGCGGCTTGAGTGTCCTCAACCGCATGGCACAACTCCAAACTCGGGAGCCTTACTTGCTCACGCATACGCTAGACCCTTATCTACTCAGGCGCTTTGGGTGCACATAGAACAAAGACACCCCGCCAGACCATCCGCATCTTAACACCGCTGCTCTTGTTTTCATCCTCTTCACAACTTCATAAAAATCGATGCCCCCGTCCTTATCCAAGCGGCACGCATACTGTACTCGAGAGGGATGCGTGATGCGGCGGCCAACTAACTAACGCCAACAGCAGCTCACAGCCTTCGCGAGAATTCTCCTAATCTACATAGTACGAAGATACTCAAAGAGGGGCTTCGAATCCCTATCCCCAACCCTAACCCCGAACCCCACCCCGACCCCCCAACCGAAGCAAGCGTAATATCCTCCCGAAGGTTACTGACAGCAGCTTACCTCTCCCCCCACTCCCCTCCTCTCTACGTCAGTTAGGGTACAAACTACTTCTGCTACCAATAAATCATCGTCGTCTCGCTGCCTGCCTGTCCAGAACAACCAAATCCACACTTGTCTTAAAAACGCTTCCACGTGTCGCTGCCGAGTTCACTTCTTCGGCCTCCCAACACCACTTACCCCCCCTTGAATCTCACGGTGGTCCCCCGAGCCTCGCTCTCCCCCTCTCAATCTCACACCTTCGTCTTCTCACCTCTGCGGCCTCCCGACACGCGACCGGGGTGTCCTTGAGTATGGCCTCGGCGTCCCTGCGGTACTCCTGCTCGAACACCGGCTTCATCATGATCAAGAAGTCTTCCCACTCGATCGACCCGGACATGGACGAGTCCCCCTCCTGCAACAACAACAACAACAACGAAAGCCGTTTCACAAAAACAGGGGGCCCCGCGAAATACACACGACGGGAAAACAAGATATCGAATCAGGCGGGCGTTGTGTAGGGTGTGGGCGTGGGGGGGGTTCCGTTGCTGTTTCATACGGGTAAGGAAAACGGGACGAGCACACGCCCCCCGCGCATACTTCCAGAGAAAGAGGGTGTGTTCCATCACACGAAATGGGGAGAGGGGTGCAGGTTGCCACCGCAAACGTAAGACAAGAGGCGACAACCACAGATCTGTCTGCTTGTGTGTTGGCTCTGTTAATGTCCCTCCCTCCCTCCCCCCTTCTCTGCGGCACACACAAAACACAGCCGACCCATTTTCATTGGCCACTGCTCAGCGCCGTCAGCGGCCGGTGTATTTAGGTTACATGGAATTCATAGTCGTCAAAGCGGGTGCCCGCAAAGGGACCCCGCAACACTGTTCATGATCAAACACCGAGAGACCCCCGCCCCCCCTACATACCCGGAGCGTGTTGTCCATGCCACCGTTGTCGTCAGTCTCTCTCCCCCCCCCCCCCCCCCCCCCCCCCCCCCCCCCCCCCCCCCCCCCC